GAGCCAATAAGTCCAGACTCCCAAGACCGAAAGATGTCGTTCCCTTGAGTATGCCTCTTGGGTATTTAAGTTTCGTCACACTATCTACCTGATGATTCATGACATAACAAGAAAAGGGGCGTCAAGATCATTATCTGCCAAGCACAATGTCACTAATCACCGAGGACAAGATCATCATCATCTTGACCGTCCTTCTGGTCGGCTGGCTTGTCAGTCTCGTCCGCACCATCTTGCGCCCTGGGCTTCGTAAAGTTCCCGGCCCTTGGTTGGCAAAATTTACACAAGCCTGGCGTATCGGACTCGTGTGGAAAGGCAATGCCCACGAGGAGTATAAATCGCTTCATGACAAGTATGGCCCGATAGTTCGGACCGCGCCCAACGTGGTTGACATATCGGACCCTACCTCAATAGCAATTATCTATGGCATCAGCTCCAAGTTTCTCAAGGTATGCAAGGCCCGACGGACAGATGGCATGTGGAAGAAGACCTGACATGAGGCCCTGAGATAGTCACACTTTTATCAGACCTTATCAGTCTTGTACCAGAACGAGGTGATGGATAGCATGTTCACAACCACCGATCCCCAAGAGCACAAGGCTCTCAAGCGACCGGTGGCTCAGAAGTTCTCAATGTCTTCGCTGCGGACACTGGAATATCTTGTCGACCCCTGCAGCGACATATTCGCAAAAGCCATGCTCGATTTGCAAGGACAAGTGGTTGATCTAGGCGAGTGGGCTCAGTGGTATGCCTTTGACGTCATTGGGGCAATCACATTCTCCCGACGTTTTGGGTTCATGGAAAATCGCAAGGACGTCAAGAATATCATCTCGGGCATCGAGTTGGGGCTCGCATATGCGGGAATTATTGGACAGGTGCCATCGCTGCACCGATATCTTCTGGGCAATCTTACCTTGAAAAGGATCCTCGGCCGACTCGGGGTTCTAGATCCGATAGCCATAACAACAGAGGTAAGAACAGACATAGTTGCCAGGCGTATTGGGTCAGCATCTGACAGACAGGACGTGGTAGATGGTTTCAGATTGCATCAAAGAGTACGACTCGCAGCCCCATTCAAGCGAACGAGCAGACTTCCTGGCCTACTTTCGGCAGGAACAAAAGTCGACGGGCCAGCAAATGAGCCAACGAGACTTGATGAATCATTTGATGAACAACCTGTATGTTTGGAACCGAGACTCCCAGAAACCTTCTGACACTGGCCTACAGATTGGCTGGCAGCGATACCACTGGGATTTCCCTGAGATCCATCTTTTACTATCTGCTCCACGATAAGTCCGCATACAAGACTTTGCAAAAGGAGATTGACGAGGCAGATAGGGCGGGCAAGCTCTCTCCCGCCATCACCTTTTCTGAGAGTCTTGAACTGGAATATCTGTAAGCCTCTCTCTCCTGTATCGTCAACAGAGTGCCCTTTTTGACGACATCCATAGCCAAGCATGCATCAAGGAAGCTCTGCGCATGCACCCTGCCGTGTCGTACCCGCTAGAGAGAGTAGTCCCTCCGGGCGGGGCCCGCTTGTGTGGAGAGTATCTGCCAGGTGGCACCATAGTCGGCGTCAACGCGGCCGTCATCCACCGCGAACGTGACATATTTGGACAAGATGCAGATACTTTTCAGCCCGAGCGGTGGCTACACAGCAGCGAGGAACGCATCAAGTTGATGGACAGGCACAACCTGGCGGTGAGTAGCCGGGCGCATGAATGGGACATCTTGAAGGGCAAGAAGAGGCTGACCACACAACATCTAGTTTGGTGCGGGTGCGCGGACGTGCATCGGCAAGAACATCTCCATCATGGAGATGTCCAAGTTCGTACCGCAGGTGTTGAGGCAGTTCGACCTAGAGTGGGCGTCGAGCGAGCCAGGGTGGAGGGTGAAGACTTATTGGTTTGCTAAGCAGACGGGGTTATTGGTGCGATTCCATCGGCGGGGCAAGATCCGCGTGTAACTGCCGTCCCAGATGCCGATACCGTAAGTAGCAAGACGTCCTTCGTAGCTCAACATTAGGCCCCAATGCCATTCGCTAGCCGGAACACTCGGGCGACAAGCCTAGTTTGAAATTGCGGGGAGGCCCCTCGTCAAACACAGATTCGCAAGGGTCATTCGGTACATCATTTCCCACCTATATTAGCCTGTGGTCAAAGTCTTCTCGATGTAGAACTTGTACAATAAAACACCTCGGTAACTTGCATTGACTTGCGAAATAGAGTCAAGATACGTGGCGTTATGCCTGATGGAGCCTTGGCGCAATCGACAAGATGAACCCGGTTTGCGGGGAAACCCACTCTTCCTGATGCATGCATCCACTTCATCCTTCACCTCTCGCTGTGCTGTGCTGTGCTGTCTTTTCCTTTCCTTCTTCTCTGTATCCTCGAACCACCGTGCAAGATTTGCTGAAACCCTTGCTACAGACTCGATAGCACACTTATGACGAAATTCAATCATGCTCTCTCAAACTCCTAGCACTTCCTCTGCTCAGCCTGCCTTACCGAGACTGGGCCCGACGGATGGCCAGCAGGAAGCAGTCAAGTTCCGGGTTTGTGATCATTGCAGAATGTGCGTCGCTTGTCCAGTCGGATGCTTGTTGTTGTTGCTTTGAGCAAGTTCTTGCTGACACAGCACGCCGAGACACAGAAAGAAGACAAAATGTGAGCTTCAAGCGCGTCAGATACGTGGGCGTGTTCGCTTGCTGATTCTTCTCAAGGTGACATGGTCCGCCCGGCCTGTGGAAGCTGCCGGTCCCGCCATGCCGTTTGCACCTACAGCAGACGAAGGAAAAAACCTGGTATTCGCCGACACTCTGAGTAAGATTGTTGGGTACGACGGTAGCTGATCTTTGACGCTGCGTAGGACCCCCTAAGGGCTGTCAGAGGTGGAGCAGATCCTTTTCCGATACCAACTCAACCATTTCGTCCGGGATTCAGGCACGTCGAGGCGCTCCGTCCTTGTTATCATCACTTGCAAAGGAGCGTGGTAGGCATCACGAGGCCATTGCTAACTCAATCGACACTGCCGATTCGGCGGGGTGGATGCTGATGGATCACGATGCCGTGGCAGAGTGGCCATGGCGCGACAATCCAGTCGGTGACGTCTCGCCATACTATCCGCTAGGCCAACCATTTCCCAAAGACTGCCTAGGGCTCAGCCCCGAGCTTGAAGCATATTTGTGTGTGGCCCAGATTCTATCACAATTGAAGCGTTCAAGAGTTGTCTGACCCTCGTGGGCATAGGTTAGATCTGTATTTCACACACCTCCAGCCGATTTATCCCTTATTCCGCCGTCCCTATGCTTGCCTGTCAAGCCGCAAAATCCCGGATCTCTCACCACGCCTCAAAATGGCCATCTATGCTGTATCAGCTCGATTTGCAAGCCCGGATGTCCTCGGAGGCCCGGCGTCGTCCAAATCATTTGCTCAGTTTGCCATGAGCCTCAATCAAGGCTCTGATCTCACCATGGATGAACTCAAGGCATCTCTCCTGCTCTATGTTTACGAAATGTCCGAGACTGTGAGATGGGATACAGTGGCGGAAATCGCGAGGATCACCCGCATGGCAGAACTCTACTATGCTCTTCACTTCGATAGTAGACCCGGCGAGCCGAGTAAGGCCAGTACCTTTGACGACAGGATGAGCTTGCGGAGCCAAGAGAGGGAAATCAGCTCAGGTCTTGCTGCTGAGGAATGGAACAGCGTATGGTGGTGCATCTACTCGCTTGACACGAGCTGCAGTGCTGTTGCGTAGGCACAACCCAGGGATCCAATCCCACCGTATTCAAGACTTCTATGCTAAGTTCCAAGGCAACAGATCATTCTCCAATCCCATTACCGACAACCTACAAGCAAAGATGGCACTGCCGGCAACATCGGTTTCCGAGTTCACGAATCCATCCCTCTGTGACCAAGAATCATCTGAAGATGGGTCACAGTTTATGATTCCCTCAGCCGGGGCGAAGCACTGGGAGACCATGAGCATGATATTCTCCAAGACTTCGTGCCGCAATCGGAACCTATATTTCGGTACATGTTCACTGATGCGAGCAGTTACCGACCTCCGATCTCTCATGGTACGGAGCGGTGGCCGTGACATACAGAAGCGGCTACACGAGCTCGAGAGCGACTGCACAGCAACGTCTTTTGCACTCCCTCCGTGGTTTTTCAATGCAACCCGTAACTTTGGCGTTGCCGAAACAGACGAGGAGCATCAGCGTCGGCTAGACGTGCTTCTTGTTTGGTCAGGGTGAGACAAGCGGTTGCCCGCCTGCGCACATGACACAGCACTGATTTTAACAGGGCAAACGTGTTGCTGTCCATTTGTGCGGCAAAGATCAGTACCCAGAGTGCTTGCTCGGAGCTCCAAGTCTCATGGCTCACAATCCTATCCAAGGCGAAAGAGACGGTCCGGATAATTCAGAACTGGAAGCCTGGTTATTTCAAAGCCATAGATCCCATGTGCTCGTACCTGATACTCCTTTCCGCATCCGTCCTCGCTTTCGACGGCGAGCTGGGCTCTACAAACACATCGACAACATCCCAGTCGAGTGAACACCTCGACCTTCTTCAGTTGTTCCTGAATCAGATGGGAATCAACTGGCCAGTAGGTGAGTGACAATGGGCTCGCAGACATGCCAACTTTTGACGACTAACTCCCAAATTCTGCTGCAGCATGCCGTCTGGCAAGTACGTCATCTTCAAAGCCATATATAAAAGAAATCTTAGAAAGTTAACATGGCTACTACCAGATACTTTGAAGTTATTGCGAGCCAAATTGTCGAGGCAGAAGCCAGTACACGAAGACGCCATCAATTACCTCATCGACCTCACCAGCCCCCTAAATGGAACCCTCATATGTCCTGACAAGAATGGTGTCGATAAGCAATCGCCGCTCGCAGAGGAAGCCTCGTCATTCCTCTTTCCGGCGTTCACTGCCTGTGCTGCCCCAGAGGACTTGACCGCGCATTCCAATGGAAGGTCGCCAAACAATGTTGACTACCAACTTCAGAACTATCAGTGGCTCGACGAGTTTGACCTTGCAAGGTTGGACGATGTTACTGCGGGAATGGATCCGCAGATATGTTTCGAGCAGTTCTGAGTAAGGTACTCATTGGCTCGAGCCGCGGGGGGGCTAACTAAGTAGACTTTATCTATAAGATATATATAAAAGGCTAGGATGAGAGGAACTAATAAGATAAGAAATAATAAACTTAAAAATTACTAGAAAAGAGGAAATAAAATAACTAATAAATATCTAAAGATTATATTAATATAATAATAACTTAAAGAAAATAAACTTATAATTTAAAATATTATTAATAAGTTATTAAATATTTATTTTTAGTAAAATTTATTATTATAGTAATTCTAATTTTATAATAAAATTAATTTAATTAATAGTAGCTTTATATCTATTTTTTAGAATTTAATATTTTATTTTAAAAAAACCTTGAAATTTAATAATATTAAACTTTTAAATTAAAATAAAAATTAATAGAAAAATATATACTATAATATAATATTTTAAGATTTTTTTAAGATTTTATAACTATTATATAATAAAGAGCTTACTATAATAGTATTTTTATTTAATTAATTATAAGAATTATTAAAAACTTATTCTCTTAACTACTATATAGATTTTATATAAGATTATAAATAAATTTAAAAAAGTATATTATATAAATAAATTACTTTTAAAGTATATATATTAATAGATATATAATAAATGCTTTTTTAGCTTATATAAGCTTATATAACCTTTATTATAAAATCTTTTATTTTTCTTATTGTTACGACCCCAGCGGTTACGTCACGTGTCACCCATAAAATTTCTCACCAATCATCATGGACCGACGATTCACATTTCGGTCCACGACTGAAGCACCAATCATACACGGACCGAGGACCCACCATCACGGTCCAGGACCGAAGTTCAAACATCTCGGTCCTCAAACCTCGATGTACCAACATGTCACTCAACCAGTATATAAGAACATTCATTTAGCATTAGATAGAACTTAGCTCACCAGCTATCAATAACACTTCTTTACATTGATCAAGCCTCACACGCATTGAATCTACCATCAAGAGACGTGACACTCGACAACGCTCAGTTTACGCCCTACGCAACCTGCCAACAATAAACCCAAGCACGGCTTAGTTTAGCACAGTTGGACCCAACCGTCACACTTTAAAGGTCTAAACTTAATTATATATAAAGAATAGCTTTTTAATATATCTAAAAGGGTTATTATTATTAAGAGAGAGTTACTTTTAAATTAATAATAGCCTAATTATAGTTTTAAACTATAAGAGTATAACTAGGATAAGGAGTTTATATATAAAGTTCTAAGATAAATATAAGATAAAGGCAGGGTTTTATAAAGAAATTAGCTTTACTTTTATATAAGTTAATTAATAAGAGTTAATTTAACCTTTATTAATTAAATATATATAATATAATATATAACTAATTAATCTTATATATAAAAATAAATTTAAAAAAATTAATAAAAAGTAGTAGTTTAAACTAAGAGTAAATTAACTTATAATATAATAATATTATATTAATTTTCTATATAAAGAAATAGTAAATTAGCTAATTTATTTTTATAATAAGTAATTGCGGACACGCTGTTCTTATTTTTCTAGCCCCACCGCTCAGTTGTCAGTTCACGTCACTGGCTCCAGGCCATGCCTTGCAGGGACTAACTCAAATAGGCTCCCCGCAAATCAAAAATTTAGCTTATCGCCATGTCGGCTTCAATATGGCGATACGGCGGGGTTCCTACATTGTTTGAACCGTGATCGGCAATTAGTTCGATTTACTGGCACAAGATGAATTGGCCCGTCACTCGGTTTATAGCGACTATAGCAACAACAAACAAGATTTTCCATTATTACGAGATGGAGCCAGCATAGCCTTTCCACTGGCTATACACCGGGGCGGACCGATATAGATTAGAGGAATGTAACATTGAGAGGTGGCACGGGAGCTGTTCATTTCGACCTTTCAGCTCCCCGCTCTTGAATCTTGGTATCTGGTCAGGTCATAGTTGACAGGTGCCAAGTGGCACACGATTTGTAATCGAGCTTGCTGCCTCCCTTAGTCCTACATGTCTTATTACCCCGCCCTGCCCGGCGCTCAATCAAAGACGGGGTTGATAGCTTCCAAGGGTCACACAACACAATTCAGGGATGAGTGCAGAGGTTCTGGTAGTCGCGGCCTGTTGCTTTGTTATCTGCGGGGGTTGAAAATATGCAGCCGCTTCCCTTTTCATCCATGCCTGGCGCGACCATGCAGCCAACAATTATATTTCAACGAATCATAATGTGACTGCAGTGCTCTCAAGAGAAGAGAAAAGAGACAACATGGAGAACACATCTACGCCACGTAAGATATTGCGATGAAACGGACTAATGTTCGTCATATTTTACATCAATAACAGGGATTCTTTCTTCTGATATGCCGCGTGCCCCTTCTCGCACCTCATCTGTTGTTTCTCCTTACACGTTATTTTCTCGCAAACGGTTACGCTTCCGTTCGTCCGGTGAGGCTGATATGCAATTTTAAGTTGATGCTAGTTGATCTCTTCGTACCTAAGCCAATAGCCACCTGCAGCAGAAGGCCTCATTATGAGAATTGATAGTCTTGATTCCCTAATCGCACCAATTGGAGAGTCTCTCATGGCTTTATTCTCAAGGGCCATCAGCGGGCTCTTCCGTCCGAGGTTGGGCTATGGTGGACCGATAAGGTGATCCCTAAATGATCAAAGCAGCGCAATTTACCATAGAGGTTCCTGTTTAGCCTTAGTTTGGGTGCCTAAAGATCGAGAATCACAAAGCTTGGGGTTCTCCGGGCTATGACATGCCACTGTACAAAGGAAGCAATAAGTTGTGGACATCTAACTATCCAACTGACACGAGCGGTATAAATCAGTTTAGAATAAAAAACAAAAACTAATTATCTCGTTGAGGCTCTGAGTTTGATTCTTTTATTTAAGTGACTATTAAGTAAGAAAAGCATAATAAGCGACTTTTTAAAGGTTTAATATCAGGCCAAGAGTGGAAATTTGGAAAGCTATAGGGTAGCAAGTTGCCATAGCTGTAGTCACCTTCATATCTCCTAATGTCAAACGCTCGAGGTTTTCGTGATAACGCAGATCGACCATGTGATGCTTTCCAAATACAAAACTTGAGGCCTGACTCTTCCGGATAAAAGAGAGTCTATTTGATCAAAGATGAACTTGTTTGCGAGGACGACGTGCACGGAGCAAGTTCGGCACTTTTTGTTGTATTTCCACATAGGATCAGTTCTCACTTCCCGTGATGACATTATATCTCGCTGTGAAGTTGTTGTCGGTAAGCAATCGATAAGAATGGCCACCATTCCGCCTCGGGTGAATTGGCCCGCTCAATTTTATTTAAACACCAGTCTAATATTTCGACGACTCGAGGCTTCCGCATGGCTGAAATGACGGCCTGTAGTTGCCTGCAGGAGAGCGGCCACGCATCGTGAGGCTTGTGTCGACTCTGATTCAAGTGTTACATCATCCTGTAATAGGTCCGTCTGTGACAGATAAAATTAGAGATTGGAGTTCAAGGTTAAAGGATGATATTTGCGAATTATCTACACATAATGCAGACCAAGCAAACAATTTTCTTACGGGGAGGTTGGTATGATGCATCTTTTATGCGTTACAATCAAAACTACAAATAATATGCTATAAACAATGCTAGTAACATATCAATCTTGGTGCACTCAATCAGTTTATGATAAATACCTAGCTTTCCTTAGTCTCTAAGCTTGAGAAAAATGCCGTCGTCTCTAATGTTTTCTTTGCCTCCTCTAACACTCTCTTAACCTCCCGTTCAGCCGATCTCCGGAACTCTTTTGTACTTTTTTCCTTGCCCTTTTGAACCTCTGCCTCCCGCTCATCTAGCTTTCTTCGTTCCTCGATAATGCACTGCATATTCTTCTCCGCTTGACTTTGTGCCTCCTCTTCGTTCCGGCTCAGGCCCTCGATTGTTTTTCCAATATTAAGTCGAATATCTGTAATGATTTCCCCATACTCTTTGACATTCAACATCTCGGTAAGCTCGACAGCATCGTCAAAGAACTTCTTCATCCTTGGCCAGTTGATAGGCCTACGTTCGATGGCTATGGTTTGGACTTCAGCTATTGATTGCAGAAGACCTCTGCTTGGTTGCATATCGAAAGTATGCTGTAAATGCTCCAATTCTTTCACCCACATAGTAAGCGATACGGCTTCTACACAGTCCCAGTTATGCTTGCGTAGTAATTCCGGCCAAGTTTTCCGTCCACAAGCAAAACATGCCTCCTCGAGGATCTGCTGTAGATATGCCATTAACCTATACGGGCTGCTGAATGGTAGGCTTGCTATTTTTTGCCCCTCTTGCATATAGCCATCATCAGGCTTCGGCTCTCCGTTTTCTTCCTCTGTTGCGTCTAGTCAGTGAATATACTGTAATTAATCTCGTCGAATACGCAGCTAAGCAACATACCATCCGCAGGTCTAGCCTCTTCTGCCGGTTCTTCATATTCTCTCGTCGGCTCTGTTTCTGCAGCTGCACTATCCTCTTCTGGCCAGAATCTGCCTTCCGTCGGCGCGTCATCTACTGATGGCTCTGCTGCAGCCACAAAATCCCAATCTGATGTCCCTGGTATGGCTTCTACAGCCGCTTCGCATTCATCAGGCTTCCCGCTGATGGGTTCTTCTTTAGCACCAGGAGCTGGTATGTCGCAAGACTGAGAAGGTTCCGTGTCTCTTGCTGATAGATCATATTCTGTCGCAGCCTCAGGCTCACAGAACCTGTCTTCATCATCATACGAAACCTTTTCTGCAGGCTTTTCAGTGTCCCAAATGATCTCCCTTACGGGTGGTGGTGAAGCTAAAGGTGGCATGCTGGCTTTTAGCTTTTTCTTCGACTTCTTGTTCTTTTTCGCTTGTCCAAATCCCCAATCAACGAAATCAGACGCCTCGATTGATGTAGCCATAATGCGGAACGGGTAGAGTAGGGTGTTCTTTAGGCGAACGTAGCGATAAATAGTTTACCTGCTGAACCTAAGAAAGATGATGAATGTAATGGGTAATGACCTTTATTGCCAGACTTCTTAATGCGGGGTTTGAGTCATCCTGCATGAATGCCTGGGCGCCTAAGTCTTAAATCAGGCTCTGCAGGCCAACCCAATCTTCGCGTCTATCCAATCAACTTCAAATCTTCAAGCTAACAACGCATCTACCGATCTTCGACTCACCAAGTCAGCTCATATTGATTGGTACACCGATCCGTGGAGTATTGTGCAACGAAATCGCCGTAGCCTCGATGTGCAATACTCCAGGACTAAGGAAGGGTATAATCGTCTACTCTTTACGGCACATAATAGTAATCGCGGCCACGCTGTTCTTACTTTCACCACTCAGTCTGTCTATTCGTATCACTGATTCCTGGCCAAGCCTGCGACGGGACTAGTTCAAATCGCCCTCACAAGCCTGAAATTCCATACGTATCGCTTCGCCACCTCGAATATGATACTTCAGGGTTCTTCCAACCAGCCACTAGACGATCTTTGCCGGGGTGGGCCGCTCTAGGCGCAAAGAATTGAACATTGAGTTAAGGAACAGCATGGGCTGGCTGCTCGTTCGGACTCTTGGCGCTCGATCCTGTCATAATTGACATGTGCTGAGTGGCACATGCCTTGTAATCGAACTTGTTACCTCCCTTAGTCCTACGTGTCTCACTACCCCGCCTTGTTCGACGCCCAATCAAAAACGGATTTGGTATCTTTCGAGGGTCACACAGCATAATTTAAGGATGACTGCAGTGGTCCGGGTAGCCGCGGCCTCTTTATCATCCATGGAGGTTGAAGCTATGCAGCCGATTCCATTTTCATCCATGCCCCGTGCGGCCGCGCAACGAAGAATTGTATTTCGACGAGTCATAATGCGACCACCTTTTTCTCAAGCTGCACACCCAATGGCCTTGTGCATCAGTGACGTGGTCACTTGCCCACCATTAACCCTGTGCCCGGACTAACATGTGTCGAAGCCTGGCTTGTTTACCCCAGCGAAAGGGCTTTGCGGCTGCAGCCGGTCAAGCTGGCCGCTTTCAAGCCTTCGACAGGGTTTGCAACGAACTCGAAAATGGCAATGTAACACGGTTGTTTTCTTTTCCCCTTAAGTGCTCCGGAAATTGTCCAGACCAGTCAGCAATGCAAAGAGTTTTCTTACAGCTTGGTCCGCTGCAGACTCGTATAAGTAACTTTAAACACCACTATAATTACTATAATAGCGATTGCACCCTGATATTTTGTCCCATGGCGTACTGGTTATGCGCGACTGTTACGAAATGCAGTTTTTAAACCACATGAGGCATCATCCAGGAGGTCTTAGGTGAGACATGCTGCATGCATGCCTGGGCGCCTAAGTCTTGAATCAGGCTCTTCAGACCAACATCATCTGCACAACAATAAAGTCTTGGAATTTGCTGGCTTGAGGCTTAAGTGATAGCTCATCAGATAGATGAACTTTGTTCGTTCGCTGATCTTCGATTGTAATCTGAAAAAGGCAGTACCGAGAGTTTACTCGGACTATCAATCTTATAGCTTGCATCTCAAATCATAGCGTCATAAGCGACTTTATGGTCTTGATAGCATAATGCTGTGCCTTGACATACCCGTTCCCCGCTGCGTCCAGAAACTCATCTTTGAGCCACCGGTTTGCTTGTTAAATGTGCAGGACATCAAAGCCGTGAATCTCATCAGGAAGTTCGGCGACGAATTTGGACGACGGAGAGACGAAATCGACCAGGCATGCAGTCTCGCATCTGGCCCATCCGACGTGGTCATACTTCTGGAGAGACCGCATGAATCTCAAACTTACCACGGAACCTTTGGCGAGTTTGTGAAGCGATGCAAGACGCTGAAGAGCGTTGATGAACTTATCAGATTCAGCTCCAAGGGAGCTCGGAGTATTCATACTGCCACTGTCCTTGACGCATTCTCTTTCAAACCCCGGGATTCAACACCCATTCCCTCAGAGCGGTGCCATCAGCTGATCGAGGAAATCTTAAAACTTAAAAAGCCTAAAGTTGTTCTATTTGTTGGAATCAACCTTGCGAACAGCCATTTGTGGCTCGATTCAAGTCGCACGGAGTTGGCACATGGCCATTTTGCCATCAAGTGGACATAGGGGGGTTTTCTATAATTGCAATGCGATCATTCCATCCAGCTGCGGCTGTCTGTTACGATGAGTCGCGAAAGGCCTGTTGCCGAATGCTGCTCATCTGTCATTTCGTTCTAGCATTTGCTCAATTGGCAGGTTCAGCCGTAGTCCCTGAGTGGATGGAGACAGTCTGTCAAAATAGCTCCACAGAATACTTGTAAATCCCTAAATTTCTAGCTTCAAAAATAGAGCCTAACTTCTTAGGGAATCCCGACGCAATGGTTCTAGAACCCTCGTTGATCTAAGGAGGACACACGTCATCTTAGGCAATTTATGGAAGATGATGGGAGTTGAGAGAGAGCGAACGACCTACCGGTATCCAGTCTCCGAAGGCAGATTTGCTGAACATCGACGCCAGCAGGTAAACGCACTGTTGAGACAATTACTTGCCTCAAACTACAATAAAGGGGCCCAAGATATCACAAAACTCTGTCTTCTATGGAAGGATTACAAATATTATGAGCCCTCCAGGCGGCAAGACATACTCAGTCGATTAATAGAGCTTGGAAGCCAGCAAGGCTCGTACCAGGGCCAGGGGGCCGTTTCAACGTTTTCGTCCACTCGCAAAAGCTACTACGTTGGGTTTGCAGATGATGAAGACGATGACGACCTTGAGAAACAGTTGGCTTCTTTGAACATTCATGACAACACATCATCAGTGGACGATGAATTAGTGACTCTTGCACGGCTGCAAAGGCGACTTTCTCATCAGAAAGACCACCTTCAGAAGATCGAGAACGTCGCGACTAAAGTGCTATCCCATATTCAACTAAGTATCAAGCTTCAAATTACGATTTTTAGCCATGATAGAACCAATCTCTCAAAAATCGTTGCAGAACTAACTAAAGACATGTATCGTTACCTGGAAGAGGTAACAGCACTTACCACGGCAACACCAGCAGTTCTAGCGGGAGAAGAAGGCCTAGTTCACCACGAGGAACAGCCAAGAAGATCCTTGGTCCAGCGCCCCGATGCTCGCAGTATTATGGACTCTGTTATCCTGGGTGTTGAAATATTATCAAACCGGGCATTTCGTTGCATCATACTTTGTTCAGGATTAATAGCCAAGGGGAGGATTCTTTTTAACCCATCACAAGATTCAAATGATGATTGTGATGGACACAATCTTTGACGTGCCCAAGAACCTTGAAGACATGTCGGCGGGCATTAAGTCTACTCTCGATACTTTACTGATTCTTCGGGAGCAACTGGACAATCCTAACCAACTGCTCAAGCGTGAAAATCATGTCAAGCTACCGTATGAAGACAAAGGTCTTGGTGCATTATAAAAACAAATTCGGGAACGGGCTTCATTACAACGGCCCTCTACAGATTTATAGTCGACGTCGTGATAGGATAGCTGCAAGAGGTTTTCAACGTTATTGTCACGACATTTTCGAGAAATCAGATCTCCTGCTAAGTAATCAGCTCTGTCCGCTCGTCGTGTTTCCAGGCCGCAAGCTGTGTTAGGTTAGCAAGCTGAACGTTGTTAGAGAATGACCGTAAGTCACCATTTGATATGCAGCGTTTGATTGATAAGTAAATGAATAAAATGCTTTATTCCGCGCAGTGGCGGTAAAAACGCAAGGTAGGTTAGGAGGAGATCTCTAACGGCGGGAGGTAAGAACCTGATGTTATCTTTTTCGGCCCCGGTCTGTTCCTGGCTCTTGTGATACTGCACATATATTATAACCAACTTCTCCTATATTAGCATAGATCGGCGACGAGGGCCTGTATTAATGTATATAATAGAGAGCAGCTCTGGGGATTGTAGCAGAGGACCAGGGAGGACTTAGATAAGTGTTAATATCCTCCTTAAGAACTCTTGGACATGTGCCTCGTAGATGGCTATCGCTTTAGGGCAGAGGCAAGTCCTACCACCACTGCCGCCGCCGCTGCCGCTTTTCCTCAACCCCCTCTGGTCTAGTCGTATAAATACCCTGCGTAAGGATGCTCTACCTTTAATCTGCCGGAGTAGGGCATTGTGCGTCCCTGCTAGTATCTCCCTGTTCCTACTATCTGTTATCTATGAAGCACCGTAGTCCTCCAGATCTAGGTTATTATTTAGCCTCTACGCCTTAATTAGAGCGATATTCTCCATTCCGAATAGCAGCTTATTATATAGGAGAGAGTGTGCCTAACGGAACTCAGATAGGGCCAGCTATAATACCTATTCTATGCACAGCTGCTTTCCTATATAGTTAACTGTCTCTCCGTTAAGAGACTAGCAGGCCTGATATATAGTAAGTTCAGTGCTAGATGCCACAAAGAGATATAATTGCTACTGTAATATATAACTATAGGGTATCTTTGTTATTTGCTAGAAGTATTTCTTATATATCTAGTTAAGTAGGTCGGGAATTCTATCTTCGTCATCCTGCTTCTGAAAGCATACAAAGTCAAATAGGATAAGTTGAGCAGTCCAGGTGAGCGCCGATAGGTTGCTGTTATAGTTACCTGGCTTATGCCAGGTACATAGCCTACGCTGCTCCTTGTCCGACTGACGCGTCCAGCTCTTCTTCCGGCTCTTTATAGCGCAGAAGCTTAATATCGCAGACCAGAATGGCCTGCTTCCGACGGTCTGGCAGATAAGGGAGATGCAAAACTTGCAGATGGCATGCTTAAGCTCACAGTCGCCATTAACAACGCCATTGCCCTCGTTGCAATAATTGTCAGCGCGATTACGATTATCGTCGTCGTCGTCGTCGTCGTCGTTGCTATTCTTGCCATCCTTCCCTCTTGCTATCTTATCCTGCCTCTGTAATATACTGATAATGTTCTTCATAGCCTGCTGCTGCATAGAGGTCGCCTTGACGGTGTCTCTCGGTACTATCTAATCGTCACACTCTCGGGTGAAATATCCATCGGCACGGAACACCGTGCGGTAGTAGTATGCGAGGAGCTGCTTTTGTATCCGAAAGTAGGAGGTTAAGCTCGACTCATTCTTGAAGCTGCGGAATTTATCGGCCTTGATGCTGCTCAGCTTGTTATCTTTACCACGGAAATTACTTAGTCTTTTTGCCCGCTGCTGTGTTATCTTTTGCTCGGGCGATTTGTCACTGCATAACCTATATGCATCCCGGAGCATGCCTTCTGCTGCGGCGAGGATGCGCCTGAGGTCTGTAGCGGTTCGACCGGTGCCATCTCCCTTATTCTCGTCGTCATCGTTGTGGTCGTCGTCGTCCTCGTCGTCCTCACTACAGATACCGTCGTCCAGTGGGTCTATGCTTCTCGGCAAGGCATATGATGATATGATCTTGGTGTCACGAAGTCCCCGTAGATGTGTGGGAAATCCGGTATGGATGAGCCAGGGCACCCGATCTGCTTGCGACTTATCGATTCCTTCAACTATACTGGCCTTCTCTTCGACATCGTGCGAAGCTTGGATGACGTCTGCCTTTAGGTCCTTAAACAGCTTCCCTTCTTCCTGCGACGACGGAGATATAGGTAGTAAACCCCCCAGTGTTAGTGGTCCTAATACTGCCCCTGCTGCTCCTGCTGCTCCTGCTGCTCCTGCTGCTCCTGCTGCTCCTGTCCTTGGTGATATTGAAGGATCATCGATGACGAAGTAGTCGATAAGCCCCTTTGCGGTGAAATATGTTTGTAGACGGCACGCTCCAGAGTGGTCTATCGTCGGTGTACTGTGAGGCCCTCTTGCTATGCGCTGGCACATGGTTGTGCATCTTTTGGATGCGGCGTATGCAGTAGTTGCACTCGGCATCAGTGCAGCAGATGTACCCTTCGTAAACGGTAAGCCCCTCTATTGGTCGACATGGTCGCTTTCTATCAACCCTCCACTGCCGTAGCTCGTCGACTGGGCGTAGCGAGTAGCTCGACAGCTGCTCGATGGTCAGCCGCAGCTCTTCACCTCTCATCCAGTGCGGCTGGGCCCGCAGGTAGCTCTTCCAGCTCGTCGGTTTCGGCACCAGACATGTGCCGCAGGGCCGGCAGACTATGACCCGGTGGTCGGGATCATAGGTAAAGCTGTCGAGACCCATTATATATGTTTACCGTGCAAATAATATTAAGGTAGGGCGTAGTAATAGATAAAATATAAGTGATTATTATGAGTGATGTGTGGGAAGCAAGTGATCGATGATATGTAACAATGTTATATATCGATCGATGTCGATGTTGGTTGATGGATTGACTGATATTCTGACTATTAGTCTTGTTTACCTTGCCTCTAGGTTCTTCTTCCCCTGCTTAGCTTTCGCTTCTTAGTTAAATGATATACTTTCTTTTCTTTTTCCTCTCTTGTTTTCCCTGGATGATAAGCCTTATCGATAGAGAGCTGGCTGGCCGGCTGGCGGTTAGTTTGGTTTTTCTTTTTCTGGTCGTGCTGGAATTATTTTCTTTTTGGACCAATTACCATCCACTCTTTCACTAAAATCCTCTTTCACTTCACCCGCCCTTTGCCCATGTCGATCTCCAAGTCACCCACCCCGCATATTTCGCCCTGCGGGGTACCTCCATCCGCCCGGCAGGGGTCTCCTCTTTCACTGAAAATGGGACGGACAATAAGGATGTAGTGAGAATCAGGTTTAGTTTTGACCACGAAATTCTGATTGGCTATGGGCTGGTGAAGCGACGACGAGGTTCACAACTAATACGAGCGATAACGTCACAACGAGAGCAGGAATAAAGATAAAATGAGCTTTTATAATATCTAAATGACCTTGAGATTGTGTATAGTGTATGGAAAGTAGTTTTGGTCAGCTCTCTACGCCCATGTCTAGTCACCTTTTTCATGATGTCGACATCTTGAGTCATAGTATAGTATTTGTCTAAGACGAACCAGCCCATCTCAATGGCATGGAGTATTCGAGTATCCATTGAGCCAGGTTGCGAGTGCTGAACCTTTGCACTCTCATAATGGAAGAGTAGAGCATCCATCAAGAAGAGGGTCGCAGTGGAAGTGTCTCTGGGTTTGGAAGATTGAGAGAATAGATTAGTGGCTTCAATCCACGGCGGGTAGACTTAGTTATATGATGCTTGTCGCCTGGGTGACGCGGCACGCGTGTAGGGTTAATGGCGAAGCCGCATTTGATGCAAATTATTGCTGGCTCTGGCGAATTGTAGTATAAGCCGAGACTCTTGAGCTTTTAGAGCTGACTTGGCCGCAATGTGACAATAGCATTAGTGTACATCGCAAGGCCTAGTATATTGATAAAGTTGAGAAGGCAGCAAGAGGATCAAATACCCTATATGAAGCCACCTTTAGCGGAGAGAGCTTGATTGCTGCTTCCTTCCTCCTAATCGATGTAACTGAAATTACTATATGCTGTGAAGTTTAAGTGCGCGGTCGTCTACATGGTTGGCACGGGCCTTCATGGAGGAAACGCGGCGCATTTCTGGTCTACATTCATGAGTAGGCTGTCGACGCAAACAATAACCGTCAGGGAGCCAAACAATTAGCCTACGCAATCTCAAATTTCACCTTCGAAAGCTCGATGGGTCTGCTCACCTTAACAGATCCAGTGTAGTTATGGGGTCCCTTACTTGAGTAGTCATTTGATACCAGTGCCGCATACCAGACAGTAGACTTTCTCCGTCCAGGACTTCTCGCCGCCCGTTACGTTTTCGCGTAAGTCACGAATCTCCCACGCTGTAGGCCCTTCTTGCATCTTGAGGTTAGCCTCAAAGAGTCCTGCGTACGGCGTATAATCCCCAGTCTTCTTCTTGCGGCCCTGCTTGGCTGATCCCTTGGCTGGTGCGGCAGTGATAAATCTCGATGGCGTTGGTCTAGGCGTTGAGTTTTTGGTCTCTAGAGGTGTTTCTCGAACAACCTCCTTTACGTGTACATTATATTTAGTCTCCAGAGCGGACATCCATCGTGGGCTGGGTCTCTTTCTCCTCGGCATCGGTTGGTGATAGAGGATGGGTAACTTTGGTCTTTTCCTCATTCAAAATCGCAACCTCGTTTCGATGAGGCTTGTCGGTGCCTAGTCGTTCATAAACTTGCATGAGAACATCATGAGTCAAACATTCGTGATGCATCCATTGCCCACACTCCGAGCTTGTGCATCCTATGAGCATCTTATCGGGGTTCGCGGGGGCTTCACATTTGCATATGATGCCAACGGACTGTACAAATATTAGTGAACGCGAAGGTAAGGGGAGCTATCGCGCAACATACCGAAAGCTGTGGTTTGCGGCAGTCGTATGCTTGACGCCAATAAAGCGCCCCTTGAATTTCTTCGTCATCTGACTCAATCCATTGGTTGACGATTGCGGGTGCTGTTACACTGACGACGTTGATGATATCCACTGAAGTAATCGGTTAGTTGCGTTGCAGGACGATATTGCTAAGCATTCTAGAACGGACTGTGGTTGGAGGCGATCAGTTCGTTAGTACCATGATACGGCTGGCGGCCTTGAACTGTCTTTTTGCGGTCGATGGTACCAGGAGGCAGTTCGTCGGGCCAGTACATCCAGTAAACGCGAGCATAAACATGGTGCTCATCGGAAGCGCGAATCTCGAGGATGCGCGCAACCCACTCATCATTAGACTTTTTGAAACCACCTTTGCCATCATTTGTGGCCTTTTGGTGCTCGATCGTTGACTCGTTGGCGACATAGACGAAGCCCTCGCTGTAGTACTTGATGCTGTTAACTACCAAAGAATTAGCCATACGCCCCTCACAGTTTGGAAGACGCCGGGATTCATCGGATACTTACGGACGAAGCTGTTGTAGCGCGTCATATCTCGCCATCGCTTTCCAGGTTCGACTGTATAATACAGGTCCATAGTGTCGTGGGTTTCGAAGCTTCCTGTGGGAAAGAAGGGAGAGATTTGAATCTGAACTCGTTTATCATCATCTTGACCGTCGCGCTTCCGCTTCTTGTTCCTATGACGTTCCTGATCTGCGTGGGAAGTGTCAGGCGCGTAAGAAATTGTAAAAGGACACTCTGCGCGATTCTCCTCCCCGACGGAGCGCGATCGCTTTCGATTGCTCATTGTGGCGTTTTGATGCGGTTAGGTATGCCCGGTGTCGGGAGTGGAGAGAAGGAGCGGTATCCAGAGGCAAACAACGGGTCGCGCGATGAAAGGGTGAAGAAAAAGAATGAGAGATAATGGAAGGATGAGGAGATGATGGGTTTGTGTTTAGTAGAGTAAATTTGCGATGTCGCGTTATGGCTGAGCCTAGCCCCGGTTGTCTTTGAGAAGCAAGCCGTGGGGCCCTGCGATGTTGTGTGCGCGCTTATCCTTACGTCATCCAATCACGATCTACGATTGGTCGAGCACAGCCCTGAAGCGGGGTTTGTCCATGTTAGATTGGCGGCTGGGAATGAGCCCCACTTTCCCTCATCACGATGTTATTCTTCTACCCAGAAAAGGAGGGGGAACTGAACCCTCCCTGACAATATAATATTCCTATCTATGAAACAAACCTTAGATGGAAACTACAGTAAATAGGGTGGATTACATATGAGAGATAAAGTATGCGTTTACACGCCTGTGACGCAAGCGCAGACCGTCGATCGAAATGAGACGAATAAGCTGCTATGGTACGGATGATGTGGGAATAAACCAGGTATAGATAAGTAGTAGAGAAACAGACAGGGGTACGCGACGATTAGGGGTACACGACAATTAGGAATAGAAGAGTAGGGTCAGCCGACGGAAACGCGACGCGTTTCGTGTTTTAGGTTTTCTAATTTCATGAGTGCGGTCCAAGAAACGCAGTGCGTTTCCATCCGGGAAATATGGGGCGAAAATGCTAGACGATGATTGGTCAAAAACAGGAAACGCAATGCGTTTCTGCTAGTAATTCTTGAGTAGGACTGCTCCCCAGCTGCAATTCCGATGTTTCCATCACTGTTCAAGCCCAAGTGTTTTTTTTTTTTTTCGTTTACTGAGAGTTGCCTGTGAAGGCTGGAGGATATCTGAGGGCTATACTCTCTATGAACTTGCACCTGTCCTAGGCGCACGTCCTCGACGCGCTGTTCGCGTGGAAGTCCGTAATCAAACTTTAATTATATTACGTATGTTACAAATCTTTGAGCTGTCGCCTCAAACCCTATGAGAATCGTCCAGGGTCAGAAGTAGAGCGCCAATGAGACGATTAAGCGCCCCCGCCATCGCTGAAAGTGGAGTCGCGGCAGTTTCGCCAAGTGCCTGCTTTCAAGTGAAAGAGGAAAACAGGGGTAATGGTCCAATCAGGACGCGTAAAAATACTCTTTCACTTGGATCTGGAGCTGGAATAATGATGTAGACTAGGGTATCTCCGCCTACCCGACAGGGGTCTCCTCTTTCACCAAAAGCGAGCCGGATAAAAGGAGTGTAGGTTGGTCAACCCACCATTACAATGGGTGATAGGATTGGTATTTAACATGGAATGGTCCCTGTCAGAATTGATTGGACTAAAATGCAAAAGGGGCCCGTTTTTGTCTTTAATACTTGAGTAAGATAGGTGTCCGTGTCCCTACGGGATCCCAGCCCGTTTCTATTTTTGATACTTAAGTAGTACCACATCATGTGGACATATTAGCCCATGTAAAACTCTCAGTCATCTTGCAGATCCATCTCGAAGTCGCTGTCTGAATCTCTTTCAGAATCAAGATCCAAATCCATATCCACGTGCCTCACGCTCGCAAGCAGCCAGTACAGCGTGAGCAAACGCGGGCATCGCAGCTTTTGGATGCTGTCCGCCTCCTCCAACCACGGTCGGAGAACATCTGGGCCGTTCTCCTCCAGACCCTTCCAATCCTCCCATCCCATATAGTGTAGCGCAGTGGCGCCTACCAAGCTCAAACCCGTCCCCTCAATCTTGCCTTCAGCCACCATGCATGCGGCAATGAACTCCAGGATAGGTTTTAGCCAATTACAAGGAGCATCTGGATAAGGCTTGCCCGTCTTTTCTTTCGCTTCCGTTTCATTCCCGTACTTGTCATCCAGCATTTGGCGGTGTAATGTCCGCCAGCACAGTTGGTCAGGGAATCGGCAATAGCAGCATCGTGCTCCTGGTCCATCAACTCGTGCATTGTATTCTCGAAAAGCATTTAGCCAGATCGACGCTTCATGAGAATGATTTTGGTAGTAACACGCATCAATCCTATGCGTATCAGCATGATCATCTCCGGAGCCCTCTTCCACCCACTCCTGAACCGAACAGAGTGTGCATTGATTTAAATCAGCGATGATAAGGGTTCGCAGCTTCATAATAAGGTCAACCTTCTCTCCTTTGCCTCGACCAGGTCGGAAAAACTGCATAATATTATGCATTCTCTCGCGGTGGTTTCCATAAGTCAGTTTCTGTACGTCGTCTGTGACAAAGAATGGTGCTGCCATATCGATATCAGGTTCCTGTTCAGGTGACGATTGCGACCTTGATTCCTCGCCGAACCTATCGGCCATGTTTGGCCGCTGCTTTTTGTTGGTAAAGCCTTGACAGGTGGCGAATAATAATAATTACTTCACTAGTAGTAAGCTCAAGACCGATCATTTTATACGGTAGCAAAAGGGTTTGGCGCGTTTTTACCTGTTAGCTATGTATAGTCGTTAAAATAATTTATTTTGGGAGATCAAAAAGGCAGAATGTATTCGAAAGGTGGTCCCCTTTTTTAACATGCTATCTTATCATGTCACGTGCAGATAGCATTGTGATTGGCTGTACTCTACGTATCTGGTACGGATTGAGCACCACGCAAAGACACGTAGGACTAATTAGCAAGGTTGGCACGGTCTATCGCGACGCGAGAACGGGCCCCGTTCCGAGACAGAGCAATCTTTGTCCAATTTAGCATATGTGATTGGCTCAAAACACGGAACGGGCCCCGTTCCTGTCTTTAATACTTGAGTAGGGTGGTCTAGGTTGGCATGGACGAAAATTGAATAATGCGACGCGTTTTCGTTCAACCTTGGTACAGTAGGGGCAGAAGCGGTAGTGACATTCGAAAACCAACCAGCGTGCACGGATAAAAAGGATGTAATTTCATGAAAGTAATGATGACAGGGGCTGGCCCACGGACAGAAAGTGTGTAATATAGTAAATTACGAGCAGTCCTTGGTACAGTAGGCTGTCGACGCAAACAATAATTGTCAGGGAAGCTCTTCTAATAAGAGTCTCCTTATAGACCAAAAACAAGTGAAATTTGCTGATTTCACTCAAGACATTGAGATTTTTGGCAGTGAGAACGGGCTAACCCGATCAGGAAGATGTAACGCTCACACCAAAGGCTTACTAGTCCAAAATAGGAAAATGTAACGGTCAAGGGCACTCTATTCTCCGACGGCCCCCGAGGTCGATCCTTTCAACCCCGTAATACAACAGGAACGTTGATCTGAGACGAAAAAAAAAGGATTTTCAAGTTATCTAGGCATACAGATCCCCAACTGAGCTATACCAGATCAGGAGTTCGTGCTATGGTCCGGGAAGTCTAAGTGCTGATCCCCCGCTGGAGATGCCCTGGGTCGGGTCGCTAAATTAGTTTCAACAGTGGCTTTTTTTCCGACTACAGACGCCATCTCTCGCCCCCAGCCTACACCAGATATCAGACCACCTGTCACATGTAAAACGCGCCCGCTGACTCGAGAAATTAACTTTTGTGTGCCATGAGTACACCTTTGCAGGTGGACTAGAAAGTTTACCATTACGTGTCATTTACAAGGTACCCTCCCTAAGATTGTGCCGATCCATTTTGCGCTGAGGAACTTTACCGTCCGTTGTCATTCAACCGCACAGCGCTTGGTCTTTGTGGATCACTGCTGCGAATCATTGTGCGGGGTACTGGGGAAGCCACTAGCGACGTGTCCGCGCTTACTGATACGCAAAGAATGATTGGCTTCGGAAACCCTCCGCAATACTGTACCTTACGTTCGGCGATGGCTCGGTCAACATTAAAGCGCTAGTTTCATACTATAAATCTTAAGAAGTTGTAGTAATCCCAGCCTCCAAGCTCTCCATTGCATAGCTATCAAACTTCGACTTCATACACCACTGGAACCGAGACGCGATAATGCCAACCCTCCAGCAGACAGGCTTGGATGAGGCCAATGATATAACCTCGTCGTATGTCGTCCTCGGCATACCGGTTCCTCGAATTGCCCAGGAGCTGGCTTGCACGCCGCCAGTATGTTGGGCCACCGAGGGTGACATACGAGCGGTCGAGCTCCTCAGAGATTTCGGATCTGATCGAGGCATGGAAGCCATGCAAGCATGTAACCTCGCAACAGGCTATTCGGACGTAATCATTTTGCTGGAGAGACCCCGGGCCAAAACCTACGACATAGCCTTTGAAAAATTCGTGCAGAACTCTGACACTTTGCGGGCTGTGGACGAGCTCATTCGGTTCGCTACAAAAGGGACGCGCAGCATCTATACGGTTACAGTGCTAGATGCATTCTCGTTCCAAGAGATTAGGGAGTCCACCGTCAACAACAAAGAATGCCATAAACTTCTCGGTAAAATTCTTCGGGTGAAGAAGCCGAGAGTTGTGATACGATGTCACAGGGACAAATACCAGGACCCATGGATGAGACGCTTTGAAGTCCAAGGCGAGGGATACCGCCTATGGAGGAGCGAGGTTTCGATCGATGATAATCATACTACGGTCGTATTTCAATCCTTTCATCCATCATGCGCAATACATAACACGGACTGCAGACCCGAATACCGGGCGCTACTCATACACCACTTCGTCGCGGCGTTCGGTGAGCTTCAGGGCCGAGGCCAGCTTCCTACATGTGCGGAAGATTTGAGACTCCTCTGTCTAAGGAAAGGGGAACGAAGGACGAAACCGACCCTCTCATTGTATCTAGCAGCTAGGTACATACGACACTTGTTTTCGGAACGGTACGATGAGTTGGACAAAGCTATTCCAATTGAAATAGCCGATTCCACACCGGAGGAAGCAATGAAGGACTGCTCACATGCATTCAGCACCATGTACCAATGTTTCAGTAACTTGTCGAAAGGCGAGTGTTCACCAGGATCTCTTGCGATTGCTAAGATCATGAATTTCTATTGGAAAGACTTCTTCAAACAGGAACCTCTCTTCAGACAAATTGCCTGGCTATTGAGGATGAAAGGATGTCAGCAGCAGGAGTGGATTACACCGAAGCCAAATACCTTGAAGTTGGACGGTAGTATTATCTTGCTGTCAATTGAAGAAAGACTTGAACGGCTTACGATCCGTGAAGCTGACTTGCCGGAAGGAGGCCTAACCAGAAAGCGAGCTGAGCTGCTTAAGAAGACAAGGGAGAAAACGCGAGAAGCAGAGGGGCACCTTCGCCAAGCTCCCGTGACAGAGCTCGCAGAGTCAATGAGGATTGCTGAAGTGCTTCAATACTATGGACCATTTTGGCAATCTGGGACCAACTCGCTAGATGGTAATGTGGTAAACGTGGTGTTCTACCACGGATACCTCAATGAGCTAGAGAGATTGCTTCAAGGGCTCCTCATCACAACTCCAGAGGGTGACTTGGTCCCTAGAATATTATGAAGCGCTAGTTGCACGAGTAGCTAGGAGAATGCCAAGTCATACCTATGTGGGTACAGCCGCACTCTTTACGAGTATGAGTGAAAGAAAGCAATATGGCAGATAGAGTAATGCGAGTATTACGGGGGACTGATACAGTAAGTAGCAAAAGGATGTCGAAAGGTGGGACAACGTGACCCGTGCCTTGGCCACTCCTAATCCATCAAACACCAGTATACAGCTTACGATACGACTCGACTCGACCGTCTCCGCACCATGTACGCTCTCTCCGAAATTCTCGTTCCTCCCAAACTCAAAGACATGCCAGGCGGCAGCGCTATTTACCTCCGATTTTGTCCTTCTTCCGCAATCCCGTTCCGGCTTTCCTAAAGCACAACTATTTCCGAAGCCATTAAGTGAAGATTCGACTCTGCGACCCTCTGCTTCGCCTTTCAGATTTTGAGATTCAAGGAACGGCAGCGTCTGGAGATATATAATTTGGATTGGGCTTAGCTTGGATGTAATCCATCATGTGTTGCTACTTTGCAGATCTCCACAATTACTATTGTACGCTAGGTGCATCCGTTATTGAGTTTGTGTGTCAAAATTCCACTCAGCTTCCTCCTTCAGTCGAGTCCGGGTCGCATTTGCGTATTTGCTGTGCATGCCCAGCCACTCTTGGGTGTTCTCAAAAATACTTGCTAACGCTCGCCAAAAGTCATGTGAGCCTCCAAATGTAACGCTCCTGTACAAGAATTCCGTTCATTCTCTGGCTCGCTAGGATCAGGCATCGCGACCAAGCAAGCATAAGTTGAGCTCTGGTCTTTGTAAGTCACCACCTCTATTTCACGTAGAGGAATCAGCACTCTCATATTCGCTATGTAATTAGCATCCGATAATACGTCATGGACGTACACACTTACCCTATCCTATCGTATCCTAGCTGCACCGGCAGAAGGAAAGGTACGTCGTAGCAGTGGATTTTATTGGCATGCGATCTCTGCTAATACTTTATTACCACAACGTAGGTAAATCAGGTTAGCTGGAAGGATAACGCTCTTGTTCTTTTTCTTACCACCGTCTTTCGTGAAGGACGCCAAGTCATACGGAGTCGCCGACGTCCTGCCGGCTCCTCTGCCGCCAACCGAGCTGCGCGGGAGGTATTTGGGTCCGAGGTGCGAAAGGATCTCCGTGTGCCGTTGGGGATTGACGAACCATCCGCCACCACTTAAAGAATCACCCCACTTAAAGCAGAGCACAAAAAAGCATCGCCCCATACAAAATCCAATATTTGATGCACGCAGAAACCAACCACCTTGTCCATTAAAAATGAAGCTGTTCGTATTTTCTATAGAGAATTACTTGAATTTTACTCTCTGCGAGGCTTTCTGACCTCCCAACCGCTGCGTGTGCGCTGGTAGTGCTTTGTTACGACCGTAAAGTCCTCACGTTCGTCCTCTGATCCGACACCCACCTCAATCACCGACTCGACCTCCTCATCCACAGCCATCTCTATTTCTGCCTCCTGTGAGTCGGGAAGAGCTTCTCTAGCTGCTAGATTCTCTGACAGAGCTATGAATCGTCGGTTTGGGTTCGGTACCACTTTCCTTTTCCTCCCGCGCCGCACCTGGGCCATCTGTTCTTCGAGGCCAGCAATCGGTGCATTCTGAACGGCCACCTTTATCTCTAAAGCTTCTAACCCCTTAGCGATCTTACTGTACTTCCGCCTGGTCGGTCGACTTCGGTGTTTGGCCATATCCCTCACTTGCCGGCTCGTTTTCGGCGTATCATCTGAGTGCAGTGGAGGAGGGCTTGGTGTCTGGAACTGTTCCAGCAGTTTTCCTTTGTCCGGTTGAAGTTCCGGATGTATTAGAGCATTGTGACGGTCGATAGACCAATTTCCCGTAAATCTCCAGCCGGATAAGAAAATCTCCTTCCTTATGCTCGCCTCCCTGGCTTTCGCAGAAAGTTGTTGGTGTCTTGTTCTTGCAGCTGTGTGAATGCACTGCTCTGTGAGTTATCTAACTGCTGGATGGGATAGTATGTATGTATGTATATTTTTCGTCCGGGGGGGCCGTAGGCCCCAAAAGTCCCCTACTGGGGCACGAGACGTGCTGAGCTAGAGGAACTACAGTCTATCTATACGCTAATTACAGAGATATTTGGCCCTAACGGGGATTAGTCATCCGCTACGCGAGATGAGTCTTCCCCTCAGAGTCCAATTTCTGTGAGCTGGATGGGATAGTTATGTTATGTTA